TGTTCATTCAATCCTGAGAGATACAGTACAGCCCTGTCTGCCAGTTGAGGGGCTCTGATTTTTCTGCTGGGTAACATGCGAACAATTCCAACAGAAATTCAAAAGTACAATGTTGGTATATATAGTGGTGCTGATCCCCTGTGTGCTAGATCCATGCAGCCATTTTTATCACGTGAATTATTTTTCCCATTATGGAAGTGAGTGGAGCCTCATGTCTAAGTTTTGCTGTGGCCTCAAAAAGCCTAGAGCCGCCCCTGGCTGCAGTATTGAATGGGCTAGGAAATCCGTGTCTCAGATGGCAAACTGTGATGAAAGATGTACTGAACTGGAGCAAGTGGAAACAACAGAATCCCTTGTAACTTGTGACAGTCTGGGCTATGGAACCCTCTCACCCGGTCTGGAATCTTAGCAGAGTGAAGGGTGGTCTCTCAGTTGGGGGCCCCCTTGCTCTCTCAATCCCTCTAAGGAAGAAGTGATGCAGATGATGATGCCACAATCTGCACTAACTTCTCACACTCATCCTCACCCTCTCACAGTCTCTTTACTTCCTCCCAAGAAGTTCCTGGGCTTTTGATTATGTAGGCTCCTGCCCCTTTGCCAGCTCTTCTGGGAAATGTAGTCTCTTACAGCTTGTCTGGGTACAGAGGTCCTGCTATCAGCACACAAGTTCACTAATCCTTTGCTATGCTATATTAAATTGTTACTAAACTCACAACAGTAAAATCAGTCTGTATATGCAGTAAAGCATGCTTGTCATACTCACTGTGGAATCTAAGGGGTTAATCCTCTGCATTGTGTAAAAAGGCCATTTGATCCTGACTTCTCTGCTCCTCCTCTTGTTCAAATGTCCACGTCTTATCTTCCTGACTGAACCGTATCCATTCTGCACATGCTCAGTTTAGTGTGTATTGCTAGAGATATTTTTTTTTCTCCTGGGAGAGTGCATGTGATCAGCACAGGGCCAATCAGCACTGTCCAGACAGAGGTCATGGGTTTTGCATCTTCCTAGAGCAGAAAGAAAACTCCTTCTACAAGTTTTAACCAGTGCTCTGCTGGACACTGATAGAAGTTCCAAGACTGCTCTAACTGCTGATGAGAAAAGGTATTTAGCAGTTTATATTTACCAAAACAATTGCATTTCCATGTTGTGTGTACTGTGGGAGACCAGATATAGTGAATGCAGGGTCCGGGGTTTAGTAACACTTTAAAGTCTGTAATAACTAAACTGCAGAACACTGCCATCTTGTGGTTAATTAACATCAAGCAGTCAGTAACTGTGCAATGTAGTTACATATAGTGCTCAGCATAAATGAGTATGCCCCAACAGATTTTTCACTTTCCTTTCAGAATCTACATTTTCTATGGGACACTATACTACAAAATACTCCCACAAATGTGGGCCATTGATTGCAAACAAGATTTGTTAATTTGCACACACAAAAAAGTATTGAATGAAAGTCTTAGGAGCAATGCTAAATTTTAGACAACAAAATCCTAATTAACAAGAATTCAGCTACAGGTGAGTCTAATTATTCATTAAACAGGTATCCAGCAGACAGTTGATTATAAAAGGGCATTACTTAACAAAGAAAACCCCTTCCCATTTCATTCTGTCATTAATGGCACTACATGGAAAAGAAATGTCTGAGAAAGAAAATACTTTATTTACACAAGAAAGCTGAAGGCTACAAAAAGATCAGCAAAGCTTTACCTATTAGTCAGAATACTGTAGCAAAAGTGATACAAAAATTGCAACCGTTTCACAGAGACGTCTAGGCTGTCCACATGAGTTAACAGCTCGACACGAGTGTCTTCTGATGAGAAGGGTTGAAGAAAATTGCCATGCAAGTTCACTGCAGTTAGCTAAAGAAGCAGAAAGCCAAACTGGGGTGATTGTTTCCCATGACACAATATGGCGGACACAGCAGAGGAATGACATGCACTGTGTTGTTCATGAGGGAAGCCTTTTCTGAAACTCATGTACAAAAAAGCCTGCATAGAATTTGGCAGGGACCATGCTGAAAAAGAAGTAGACTACTGGGACTCTGTACTCTGTTTTTGGAACTGATGGGTTCAAAACTATATGGCAGCGGTTCTCAACCTGGGGGTCGCGACCCCTTTGGGGGTCGAACGACCATTTCCCAGGGGTCGCCTAAGACCATCGGAAAACATATTTCCGATGGTCTTAGGAATCGAGACACCGCTGCTGTCTCCGGCGATGTGTGGGCGGGATGATATGCTGCCCCTGTCACCGCCTCCTCGCCGCTGATTGGCCACCGGAACTGTAGCTCAGGAGAGGCACACAGGCGGCCAATCACCGGCGAGAAGGTGGAGCTTGGAGAGGAGGAGCCGAGCGGCAGCGCGCGGAGATCGAAGAAGATTGAGGGAGCTGCAGGAACGAGTGAAGAGAGAGGCCAGAGAAGGAAGACAGCTGACAGGTAAGTGCAAATTTTGCTGCTGCAGCCAGGTATGCAGGCTGTAGATGGGAGAGGGAGAGAGCGAGCCCAGGCTGGAGCAGGAGTCAGCAAGGTAAGTATCATTGGTGTCAGTGGAAGGGATAGTGCCCCATCATTTGTGTCACTAATACCAACGATGGGGCACTATTCCTCCCCCCACTGACGCCAACGATGGTGCACTATTCCTCCCCCCACTGACGCCAACGATGGGGCACTATTCCTCCCCCCACTGACACCAACGATGGGGCACTATTCCTCCCCCCACTGACACCAACGATGGGGCACTATACCTACCCCCACTGACACCAACGATGAGACAGTATTCCTCCCCTCACTGACACCAACGATGGGGCACTATTCCTCCCCCCACTGACGCCAACGATGGGGCACTATTCCTCCCCCCACTGACGCCAACGATGGGGCACTATTCCTCCCCCCACTGACGCCAACGATGGGGCACTATTCCTCCCCCCACTGACGCCAACGATGGGGCACTATTCCTCCCCCCACTGACGCCAACGATGGGGCACTATTCCTCCCCCCACTGACGCCAACGATGGGGCACTATTCCTCCCCCCACTGACGCCAATGATGGGGCACTATTCCTCCCCCCCCACTGACGACGCCAACGATGGGGCACTATTCCTCCCCCCACTGACGCCAACGATGGGGCACTATTCCCCCCCAATGACGCCAACGATGGGGCACTATTCCTCCCCCCACTGACGCCAACGATGGGGCACTATTCCTCCCCCCACTGACGCCAACGATGGGGCACTATTCCTCCCCCCACTGACGCCAACGATGGGGCACTATTCCTCCCCCCACTGACGCCAACGATGGGGCACTATTCCTCCCCCCACTGACGCCAACGATGGGGCACTATTCCTCCCCCCACTGACGCCAACGATGGGGCACTATTCCTCCCCCCACTGACGCCAACGATGGGGCACTATTCCTCCCCCCACTGACGCCAACGATGGGGCACTATTCCTCCCCCCACTGACGCCAACGATGGGGCACTATTCCTCCCCCCACTGACGCCAACGATGGGGCACTATTCCTCCCCCCACTGACGCCAACGATGGGGCACTATTCCTCCCCCCACTGACGCCAACGATGGGGCACTATTCCTCCCCCCACTGACGCCAACGATGGGGCACTATTCCTCCCCCCACTGACGCCAACGATGGGGCACTATTCCTCCCCCCACTGACGCCAACGATGGGGCACTATTCCTCCCCCCACTGACGCCAATGATGGGGCACTATTCCTCCCACTGATACCAACGATGGGACACTATTCATCCCACTGACATCAGTGATGGGGCGCTAGTCCTCCCACTGCAAAATTACAGTTATGAAGTAGCAACGAAAATAATTTTATGGTTGGGGGTCACCACAACATGAGGAACTGTATTAAGGGGTCGCGGCATTAGAAAGGTTGAGAACCACTGCTATATGGTATTGGAAAGGTAAGAAGTACAAAGAAAAATACTTGGTGTCTACAGTGAAACATGGTGGTGGCAGTGTCCTTCTGTGGGGCTGCATGAGTGCTGCTGGTGTTTGGGAGCTGCATTTCATTGATGGTATCATGAATTAACAGATGTGCTACTACTGCTATATTGAAAGAGAAGATGCTACCATCACTCCGTGTCCTTGGTCATCGTTCACTTTTCCAACATGACAATGATCAAAAACACACATCTAAGGCCACTGTTGCATTTCTGAAGAGCAGGGTGAAAGTGATTCAGTGGCCAAGTATGTATCCTTATCTGAACCCAAAAAAAACCTATGGGAATTCTGAAGAGACAAGTTGAGCGTCACTCTCCATCCAGCATCCAGGCTCTAAAAGAGGTTGTTCTAAAGAATGGAAAAAGATAGATGTTGCAATATGTCGGCAACTTGTTCATTCCATGCCTAGAAGACTTGGCGCTGTCCTTGCAAACCATGGAGGTCAAACAAAATACTAGATGTAGTAGTTGTTATTGTGGAGTATATTCATTTTTACTTCAACTAATTTGAGTAAAACTGAATATTTTGTGATCTAAGTTGTAATGTAATGAGTTAAATAAATGTTCTATAAGACTCAATTTTGTAAAAATCTTGGAAATTGTTCTTGTGTTGTGTATTGAGATATTGATTAAATTCTTACTTTTCGAAAGGGGTGTACTCATTTATGCTGAGCACTGTGTATATATATATATATATATATATATATATATATATATATATATATATATATATATAAAAATATATATATAATTATTTATTACAGGTACTTATATAGCACTGTCAATTTACACAGTGCTTTCCATAAAACAAATATATATATTTCTTGACCTGTTTGGTTCTGTATAGCAATTCTGTTGTTGGCTAGTTGTTGTTAGAGACAGAATTCTATGTCCTAAATAATGGCTGCTGCAAAGCCAAATGATGGTGTCACACTATGGATTGTGTAGGATGCAGAATAAACAAGCAACTGGCTATCCCAGGCTAAAATTATTCAAGGAAACCATACTTTTCACAGTGACAGACACTTACCTGATTTGTTTATATCAAGCTCTGATAACTTTATGGCTAATTCACTTGTGTTCCCTCCTGCTGAGGTGAGTATATCATGCAGAGCATTCCTTCTTCCCGTTCTCCCTGAGGCTATGAAATCTGCATATGTAGATTCCACATCAGTCATTGCTACTAAGTATCCTCATAGCAGTGCCTATAGAGAAACAAAGAAACAGATTTATGAAATATTTCACAATTTAGGAATACATTAACGCCAAATGGTCATTCCATCCCAAATTGATTGTGAACATATACCTACAGTGACCATCAAGTTACTGTATCAAAACTTAAAGCGGAACTTCCATGAAAAATGGAAGTTCTGTTCCACCTCCCCTTCCACTTCTGCTTTTGGAACTTGGATCCCTGGACAGGTAAGTGTCCTATTTTTAAATGTCAGCAGCTATGGTATTTGTAGCTGCTGACTTTTAATTTTTTTAAAAAGTGACTGCAGAACCGCTTTAAGTGTAAAAAAGATCTACAACAGCCCCAAAACTCTATAATGCAAATTCCAAGTTCTGCAAGGAAGGATGGATTTTGATCTATCCTCCCCTTCATCACTATTGGTCAACAAGGCTACCCAACACAGAGAATAGAGCATCAAAGTGTCAAGGAGAAAATTCTTCCAAATAAAGATAGAGCCAGAAAAAAAAAAGCAAAAAAAAAACCTTGTTAGGGGATCTAGCTCTTTATAAAGTTTGCTAAAAGAAAGAAAACACACACACACACATGACAAAGGATGCCTGCAGCAATATGGCTTAGCTAAATCTCTACATTATCTTACCTGCATTAAGGCAAGAAACTTCAGACAAAGACTTCTTAGGCTGCTTTTATATGGACAGAGAGAGGCATAAAAAATGTTTGGTGTAAAAATCTGGGCATTTTCCAGCTCTTATGGAGCTTCATGTGCTGCAAATAGTCTGCAATACAAGTAAGTAGCTCCGTGGACATAGGAAAATGCTCTGCTTTTTGTGCCCAGCATTTTTTATGCTTCTCTGGGTACTGGAAGGTGGCTGTTAGAATACAATAGGAGCATTGGGAGATGTATATAGACTGTATAGCATGGATGGAGGAATCAGTTAATTTTTTTTTGGTTCAGCCCACATGCCAACTTTAGGAAGCCTGTAGGTAATTCAGCTCATCTGTCCATATCATGAAATAGGTTTTTGGTGTAATGATTCTTTAAAATTATAAAATGTGTGTAGGGATCTGCTGCCCTCTACTGTTAACAGCTGTTATCACAGGATTATGTATAATTATGTAGAAACGCTGCTGTCTCGGGGAGGGGCTTTGAAAACCCAGAAGGAGGAGGTGAGGAGAGAGAGACAGAGATCTGAGCCACATGGCCTTATATACACAGGAGCTGCTACTGCTGCTGTATTTTCACCCAGATCACAGGCAAAATACCATGCAAGTATGCATCGGGAGTTTTCTGGTAGTTGCCGGTAACTGTGGTGGTAGCATGCAGGGCACAGAAAGATGTTTGCATAGGGCTGCATATATGCTGCCTCTCGGCATTAAAGTCCACCTGCCAAGAGGCCTGCATATATGCGTAAGGACAGCAGGAAGAGGATAACTAAAGCTGCCCATAGTGTATTTCTGAATTCTTGTGACAGAATTATTTCTGTCCTATTGCTGTTATCTCATACGCACAATACCAGATAGCTAGGACTGTATGTGTGTAGTGGTCATCTTGCTGTATGTTTGTAGGTGAACCTGTTTATTGCAATATAGTTTATACACTGTTCCTGTTATTCTAGTTAACCTTGTCCCTTTTTGGTCTGGCATTCTATAGCTAGTTTTTGCTTTAGGCTCGATAACCAGCATAGGCAGGTTAGGTTTCTGTGGCCATGTCGGAATCATAGACTTAGAGTTCCAGGTAAGAAATGTAAAAGGACAGAGGAGACAGGCTGACTCTGAATTCCAGTGCCACACCACAGTTCCTACCCTGAGAAGTGCCGTTCCAGGCTAGTTTGACAACAATTGGAGGATCTCCCCTGACTGCAGATCTTGTCTTTAGGTCCCCAACACAAAGATCATCCTCAGGGGTCCATGCAACTGGACATTGCTGCAACATTGATTTGGAGGTATCTTTATTAATGACTATATACCCAGGTAGATATGTGCACAATTCCACCGGGAGTTCTGTCGGGCTCTTTCCTGAATGATAAAGATATACATATATATATTTATTGTATAGTTAATGATATATGCTGGTCACAATAGTTATTCTGAGCCAAATTACTTTGACTTTGTATGGAATACTTGTTAATTTCCCAGGAAGGGAATGCCCTCTGGTCACAAAAGTCCTGTCCTGGATGGAGGCAACGCCACCTTCATTATCAAACCCACTCTTCCACTTAGCAAAGTTTTGGTTCTCTTATTAACCTGGAGGTTTAGTGCACTATCCTGTTTGGGGAGGGCCATTCCCTATACTCCCCCCACAAAAAGAGGGCTACATGTGCTGGAACTTACAACTGCATTAAATGTGTATCTTAGCTTGTAGTATAACATGAACTGGAACTCTAGTCAAAACGTTTTCTCCCGTTTTGAACTGTTGGGAGCTGGGAAGAGTTGGAACTTCTGAGATGTGTTTTATTGATGTCTGAGGACCCTTATTGGAAATTAATCTCAGTTTCTATATTTGTTACTATTTTGTCTTGGACAGATAGCGTGAGGAAACATAAAGCTTTACAATACAGGAGTGGGGGAACTCCCAATGGGGACCTATGGCCTAGCAATAGGTAAGGTGGGATTTACCAATCTTTGGGCAGTGTTTCTTTTATTAACAGTTTCAGGACAGGAAGTGCTGAGACAAATTAATTCGGGACACAGGCAGCAAAATAAACCTGACAGAAGTTCTGCTTCTTCTCCATCATAACCAAAAACTGTAAAAAGTATTTGGTTGGAGTTTTACATTGATGTACAGCAGCACAATGGCTTAGTGGTTAGCACTTCTGCCCTGCAGCTCCGGGGTCTTCAGTTTGAATCCTGGCAAGGACAATATATGTATAGAGTTTGCATATTCTGCTTTTGCTTCTATGATTTTCCTCCAAAGCGTGGTGATAGGTAAATGGGTGCCTGTCTAACTTGGCCCTAATGTGTATGTGTGTGTATGTATGCACGTGAAATAAAGATCTTAGATTGTAAATGTAAATCGTACATTGTGGGTACCATATAGATGCCTGTAATTAATAAAAATGGCAAAGTCAGAGGAAACTCCACAAGGGCATACATTTTATGTTTTCCCAGTAAAAGGAAAAATGAAACCGTACCAACAAGAAGATGGACCTGAATAAACTGCTGGTGTAGCAGACGTTGAGTATTGCTCATCTCTATATAACGGCTGTATTCTTTGTTTTTTTTAAGACTTTAATTTTTATTTGAGTGCATGTTCATGTGCCCCAGTTTTCATTAATAGATTTTGTATGGTTAAAACGAAGACCAGTAATAGAAACCAAGTTGACAACAACTGTGTGTACCATTCTAAAAATAACAGATTAAACAGATTGCTGAGTAATGACATATTCAAAGTGATAACCTTCAGCACACTAAATGTTGTAATAAGATCTGTGCTTTTCAGCCACATTTTCTATACCAAAGGCTGTTTCTGCTCTGCAAATGAACCACATACAATAAATGAATGGAAACTGATTACAGGCAAGCTTGAAAAGTGCATCCGTTTTCTGTAATGAAGAATATAAGATACATGGCGAGGGGCTCCAGGATTTTTGTTTTCTCAGATATTAAGAAGCTCTGGTGTGGTTCATGGAGCCTGGAAGCTTTGGCAAGCTTTGGGTGGGTTAAAGCCTCCATTCCTTGGACTACATCTTATCTGGTAGCCATTATAAAGCTTGCCACCAATGGATCAAAATCAGCCACGACTGGATAAATTTCAACCCATGTGCAGCTATTCCTGTTTGAAAGAAGTCAGTTGTTACTGTGGATTGACTTCTGTTGAACAGGAATGTTGGAAAATGTTTGTCAATCAAGGGCTGCAGCTGCTGATCAGTACAATCTAACTGCTATTGTTGACAGCCAGTACCAGAATATAATGTCCGGGCTGGGGAATCTCCTCCATCCACCTTCCTTGTGTGGATAGACAAATCTGCTTGTTTTTTTCATTAAGCTGGCTGGCTGATTGCAAGAAACATGAATCATCTATGAACAGCTTTAGTCTCAGTTGTATAGAGGCCTTTTTATACAAGTATGCGAGCTGACTGTTTTAAAGGACCCCATTAGGGGACACCCCACTATTCAGTGTAGATAGTGGCTTGAACACACAGATATTTATGCTTGTTTTATGCTATGGATTTGATGTAAAAAGGCTTCCTGCATTGTTTACTGCCTTGCTGAATAAAAATTGCAGGATAAACCAGCTCGGACAGGCTCTGGTAGAGAGGCAGGTGGTGGCATAGCAGTGGCACTTCTATTTACTAAACACAAATACTCCTGCGCTTGGGGGTGAACTTGGTGTAACTACGGATCCGTGTGGAAGATCCTGGATATTGCACGCCTTGCTGCCCTCAAAAGACTGGGGAAGTCCAAAACACTGTATATAAAGAAAACAAACTGAGGGCGCACCGGCCTAGTGCATTACCTAAATACATTTATTGATAAAAGTAACGAATGGTGATATACTCACAAATGACAATGACAAAAAAGCTCATCATAAAACACAGCAAAGTCCGGTCTGCCTGTTATGATGATCCCCACAGGAACACTGGATCTCCAACAGGAGATAAAGCTGAAGCCTACCTTATCATCTTTTGAGATGTTACCCAAGTTTTCTGCTAGTGCCCTTTTTAACAAAGGATCCCCAAATAAGATGCCCAGGAGTATGCTAAATGTAGAGGGGGGGAATCCTAGCCAGGCTCGGGGTTACCATGATCATTTGAGCACAGTCTTTGTTTGCATAGAAACATGGCCCTGGGAACATGTATGATTTGTTTCACCTTACAAACAAGTGATTGCAATCAAAGGTGGCCAATGATGTAACTTGGGATCTGACCTGTTGTGTTTACATTACTGCAGTGCCGAGGATCTGTCATTTAGCAATGGGAGTACAGTTGGAAGGTATCGTCGGGTGGTGAGTTATGATTGCCAAGGATTACATTACCCTATTATCATGAATGCATGAATTAAATTCCTGGACAA